AGGCTGGTGCATATAGATCTCCTCGTCTAGGTCTCCGTGAAGAAATGCAGTCTTCAAGTCTAACTGCTCTAGATAGAGCTCTTCACTAGCCACAATACTTAACACAGTCCTGATAGTATTGAGCTTTACAACTGGAGTAAAGATTTCAGTGTAGTCAACTCCTTCTTTCTGCTGAAATCCTTTGACAACCAGTCGGGCTTTGTATCTCCTGGAACCATCATGGTCTTCCTTCACCCGATACACCCATTTGTTGTGAAGTGCTTTCTTTCCCATGGGTAACTTGACTAGTTCCCATGTCTGATTTGAGATCAAGGACTTCATCTCGTCCTTCATGGCAAGTTCCCACTTGCTAGCATCCTGGGTTTGACAAGCCTCCTTATAATCTTCAGGTTCTCCTCCATCGGTCAACAACATGTAGTCCATGTATCTCCTATTAGGCACATGGGGCCGAGAAGACCTTCTCAATACAGGAGTTGGAGTAGAAGCTTCTGATTGCTCACCGCTTTCTTCATTTGATTCCTCTGACTGAGGATTCCTTATTACAGGAAAGTCTGGGATATCTTCCACCTCTGCATAAACTGGCCCACTCGCTTCTGAGCTGCTGGCACTTGTGTTATGCCGATCCTTGTACATCACTCTTTCATTAAAGATGACATCTCTGCTGCGGATCATCTTTTTGCTTTCATCATCCCATAAGCGGTAGCCAAACTCATCTTCACCATAACCAAAGAAAATACATTTCTTTGATTTTGGATCAAGTTTGTTTCTACCTTGATCACTGATGTGCACATATGCTACACACCCAAAAACTCTAAGATGTGATAGTTTTACTTCTTTTCCGCTCCATACCTCTTCTGGTAACTTGTGATCCAGTGGTACCGATGGACTTCGGTTGATCAAGTAAGTTGCTGTGTTGACTGCTTCTGCCCAGAACTGCTTTGGTAGGCCTGACTGCACACGCAAACTTCTGGCTCTTTCAGTCAACGTTCTATTCATACGCTCAGATACACCATTGTGTTGAGGCGTACCAGGCACGGTTCTCTCCATTTTGATCCCGTGTTCATAGCAAAACTTCTTGAATCTGGTGGTTACGTATTCACCACCATTGTCAGATCTGAGCTTCTTGATCTTCAAGCCTGTCTCATTCTCCACCATAGCTTTCCAAATCTTGAAAGCTTCAAATACTTATGACTTGTGTTTCAGAAAGTAAACCCATACCTTTCTGGAGTGATCATCGATAAAAG